TAATATTATGACTTTATTCTCGTAATATTATGACTTTATTCTCGTAATATTATTAATTTATTCTCGTAATATTATGACTTTAATCTCGTAATATTACAACTTTAATCTTGTAATATTACGACTTTAATCTCGTAATATTATGACTTTAATCTCGTGAATTATGACTTTACTCTCTTAATATTATGACTTTATTCTCATAAAATTACGACTTTAATCTCGTAATAAGAATAAAAAATCATTGTGTGGCCCTAATACTCAGTCGTATGCGTAATATTGACGATGTGTCGTGCACAAAAATACGTCATCATCACATGGCACTAATTGCTGTAATTGCAAAATAGCAAATATTATTTGTTGACAGTTTGGGATTAATTGCACACAATTCGATTTTGCTAAACCCTACCACCACATGCAACTGAAAGAAATGCTGTTGCATCAAAACTCCAGCAAAATTATCAACAAATAAAGAAAAAAAAACAACTAACAATACACAACAACGTGTTGCCCAAAAGTGAGCAGCACAAACCAATTTCCAGGACGTAATTTACCAGACTTCATGTTTTTAACTAATCCCAATAAAATGTTAATACCATCAATCTGTTTGCAGCTTTATTTGGGTTCATTTGTCTCTAAGACAGGGAGGATGCCCAATGGTAAACAATAACACATAACACTGAGACATAAACAATACACTGTCCTCCAGGATCAATATATGCTACTAGAATCAAAATACACACACAAGTTTTACCTCTGGGATAGACCTTCTCCAGATGTTCAACAGCTCCATTAAGCTCGGATGAAGAGTTGTGGTCGRATGAAGGCTGGGTTGCACCTGACTCAGAGTCAAACTCCACCGGACTGAGGCAGGTGTTCGCTCCATCAGCTTCATGAACAGGTTGTGGACCTTCTGACGCCCGAGGTCGACCCCTGCCTCTACCTCTCCTCCTCCCCCTTCCTCTTGGAGGATGAGTGACTGGTGGTGAATCATAAGTTTCTGAGTCCAACTGGGCAGCTTTGACGGGATTTGGAATGAGACCGGAGCTCTGACTACAAACTGCAGAAGCGTCAGCAGCCCACACACGGGGCGAGTTAAGAGGATCTGAAAAGGTGGAGGGAGTCATCGGAGAGGAGAATCCTATCTGAGTGCGCTGAGCAGAACTGTCCCGGCTGAGCGAGTCCCTGTTTCGTCCTCTGCCGCGACCTCGACTCCTGCGACGCTGTCCCGTGCTCAGCTGGGACAGTATGACGGCCTGCATGTCGGGCTGACTCTGTGACAGCGTCATTCGTCTTGTGGTTCGAACATAGTACTCTGCTGGAAAAAGTAGTCCATCTACAATTGTACAGGAGTCTAGGAGGCCTTCAGCTTTTCCTTCTCTTGTAATCCCATTCTTTTCTTCGTTCATCTTAACCAAATTTTCCTCACTTTTTATTATTTTAGCTATGCTTTTCTCACCGTTTTCTACAACGTCCCCTTTAAATACCCCCTTTTCTTCAATTTCTTTACAACCAACTCTCTCCTCTTCAGTTACCCCTGAAGAGAAAACAACAGTTAGATCAGCCTCCTTCTCTTGTTGTCCCTGGTCTGTTTGATTCTCCTTTCCCAATAAATCTCCAYGTCCAGTGGGTCCTTGTGTGCAGTGTGTTAGCAGCAGAGAGGGAGACTCAGACTCTGTAGCAGGAAACAGTTCTTCACTTCTGTTCACTTYATCTCCCCACTTTGACTCAACTCGTCCACCTTTTTCCACAACCGTTTCAGCATTCTCCATCCTTCCCACTTGCTCTTGCGGGTTGCCGTCTGTGCTGCTGCAAGCCTCGGCTCTCCTCCTCTCCAGGCGAAGGCGGCTGCGTCGTGAGCGCAGGYGCAGGGTGGAACTGGGTCTGTGACCTGCAGCGGTATCGCTGCCAGGATCTGGGGTTTGTGGACTAGCAGCATCGACGGGGAGTCTAAATCTGATCACCTGGCTCCTCCTAGATGTATCAAATGTATCTGCTGGACCTGGGAAAACATCAGATTGTGTGTGGAATCCAACAGTTAATTTGTGATTATGACAGACAGTATAACAGTATCTGTACGGCAAACATTTTCTCCTGAATTTTAAAAGGGGTAATTCTGATACACGTTCTTCTGAAAAGTCCTAAGTTTTGTGTAGTTTAGTATTAAAATGTTTATATATATTTAACACAACATAAATGAATCCAGCCAGAACGTTCACTCATTACTACACACTTTTGATACAGCATTTTCCTGTCTAAACCATCAAGATCTATATTTTCTATTTAGAACTTATTTTGTATTTGACAAGAAAGATCTGCGTTTTTGTTTTTACTCTTCTTCTTCTTCCCCCCATTTTTTTATGGCGGTTGGCAAACAACTTGTAGGTGCATTACCGCCACCTTCCAGATTGAAGTATGGATCAAACGCTTATAATCTCCCCATAACACCCGTTTTTCTTAGAAAGTTAAAAATACTACTGAAAACTATATCCCCTGACAATCTCTGAAACAATTCTCTAATATCTAACTTATTTTTATTTCTACTTAAGTCTCTAATTAACATCTTTCTTTCCCGTACATATTTATTACATTCTAAGAAAATGTGTTGTATTGTTTCTAACTTTCCACAATAATTACAACATGTTCTCTGTATATATATTTATTACATTCTGAGAAAATATGTACTGTT